CTTATCTTTTATTCGCTGTCCTTGTCTACGTTCGGCAAACTACAAAGGCGGGCGCGAGGCTCGAAAACGTAGTCCCTGACTCTACGAGTGTCAGGTTTAGCTTCCTTGCGGTTTGACACTTGTGGAGAATATACTGTTTAGAGAAGAAAGTAAAACTAAAAGCATTGTAATTTGGATATTTCGTATGTTTTTTTCGTATCACGTGCATTCTCTGCAATTTTGGGCCTTTAAATTTCCTACGAATGCATCAAAATCTAAGTCTACAAATTATAAATTAATACTTCACACGTAAGTCATGGAATACTTTTGAAATTCTTTGATAAATTATAAATGATTATACAGGCTGAGTTTAAATATTGAAATTTTTGAATAGTTTGAAGAATTTAACTGAGATCTGTTACAAATAAATGTGTTTTCAATGGTGCAGAAAAATCTTGGGAGAACTTCTAGAAATGTCGCTGTTGAAGGATTGCAGCTTCCTTAACATTTGCCTGGGCATCAGTTTCGTCTTATCCAGTGACTTCACGTTTTCCTGTCTCTTGCCGTTGATGATGACCAACAACGGCTACACGAAGAGCCAAGCAGCCCTCGCAATTACTATTTGCGCGACCGCGGAATTGGTGTCGAAGATTTTACTCGCGATTTTCACTTTGGTGATGAAAGTCAAAGCGAAATATTTATTCTTCGTAGCTATGATTTGCATGGCGTTCGCGAAAATTGGTCAGTAAATTTCGTTTTACGTTTAAACCCTTTGCTGACGGAGGATAATCACGTAATTAGGTCGCTACTTCAGTTCGAACTAAATTACACGAAAATTACATTCACGATCGCTCTAACTATTTTTATTGCTTAAAAATATGAGTTTAGTGTTTTATAGTGTTTCATGAACGCATGTATGAGTTTATCGTCCTCAAAGGGTTAATGAACTTTGGTTGAATTAAAAATTGAAAGAAAATAGATTCTCGATTTTCGTATTAATGACGTTAATACTCAAATGGCAATACATTTTCCAGGTTACCTGCTGTACAGTGAGACATTGATAGGCACATTTGTGATGATAGCGGCTATAGGAATGGTTAGATCATGGTTATTAGTTCCTCAACCATTGGTCATTATCGAAGGTGTCACTATTGATAAATTCGCCTCAGCCTATGGAATTTATGGCGCTATTAGCGGAGTGATTTCGATACTGTTTGGTCCAATTGTTGGTAAATAAACTATACTCCATTCTGATTTCTAATTGCAATATCGTTAAAATTTGATCTCCATTTTTTAAAATTTTTATCTCCACGTAAGAAAGGTATTCTTCTGCATCTTCCCAAATTATTTCCAGAAAAATTTGAAACTTACAGATCCTCGAAATATCCTCACATTTAAACTATCCCACTTTTTCCATTTTATAATCATTTTGCGTTCAATCGTTACCAACGAAGGAAGCTATAACACTCGTCCCGCCCGAGTGGGAGTGGATTTTAAGATGTAAATGATCTCTTTCAGGCCTGATGAAGGACTGGACCAACAGTTTTGTGGTCTGCCAGCTTGCCCTTATAGCAATGAACGTCCTGTTTGTTATACCATGGGCAATACAGTTCCTTTCAGTAGATTTACCAAAGAAGAAGCAGGAACGGGTGAATAAAATTGCTGCCCAAACTTCCGGTTCTCTTTCTGCTGATTGACGCAACTGGAGAGAGATGGAGAAAGACATTGTGCATAAAGCATGCATATCTACTACTTCGAAGTGGGAACTGTTTTTGTACAAATGTAAAATTAAGTATGTACCCTATTTCGTCGTCGGGATACTTTGGCCAAATATTTCTCTTCGTAGAATGGAAAAGATGGAAAAACATTGTGGCAGGTTACTATTACAGCGTTAATTGTCCCAGCGTCAGATTTCACGTGGAAGTTTTTAAGTTACACTTCTTTTCACACATACCGTACGTACATTTTGCAGATTTCTTTGCAAACGATCAACAGCGATATATATTTATTTATAAGGTAGAAATAATAATGTTGCATGGAGTGTACATAGGCCAGCCCATAATTATTTTTGTAGCTACTGTCATACGCGAGAATAAAAGGAAATTATTTAAACACACATATCTGATTCTACGGTTAAACTTGTGCAAATTTCAAGCGTCCGTTTGCAAAATTTCAAACAGGTTAACTCAATTTCTATGAATTTTTATTCTTTTCATACTTCGCTGCTTTCAAATAGTATCTTCGCGTTAAATATAATTGTTATCGCGATATTTAAACATAATTTACTCGTACAACTTGTTCATTCGTTGCAGAATTGATTTGAATTCAAGTCTTTGTTAGGCAAAAACCTCCGGACAGTTTTTGTTTCGTGGTTCGATTTTTATTTGGAAGCCTTCTACCCTTTTGAGAATAATGTCAGCCCTCAGCCGGAAGTCCTTTTCTGTATGATCCGACAGAATCTTGTAGTTCCGCAGAATCGTCGACAATAAAACCTTCAGCTTTAACATCGCGTACTTCCTTCCCACGCATGACCTATAAAAAAAAAAAAACCACACACGGTTTAATCGTCAACTAATTAGTTGTACTTAGGTTGGAGAAAAATTCGTTCGTGACCCACCTTGGTCCTGCGCTGAATGGAATGAAGGAGTAGTAGTGTCTGTTTTGCATTTTCTCTGGTAGAAAATTGTCGGGATCGAATTTATCCGGGTTTGGATAGAATTCTTCTAGTCGGTGAATTCTGAACGGAGAGATTAAGATTGTGGAAGTTTTTGGTAGAATATAATGGGGGGGGGGGAAATGTTTAATATTTAATTTCTGCAGAAGTGATAAAATTCACCTATTTTCACGTCTTGATTAATTGTCCTGGCAATTATTGGGACCGGCGGAAAAAGTCTTAAAGTTTCTAATATCACTCTTTCGAGATATTTCATCTTTAAAGTGTCCTGAAACGTGCAAGGTCTGTTCGATCCTTTGTAAATTTCATTCAGTTCCTCGTAGACTCGTTGCTGTAACGTGAATATTTCGAATCTTAGACAATTGGCAATTAATGAGAAATTAAAGAAAAATTTTTAAATCGAAATTAATTTGTCAATTCCTCGAAGACTCGTTGCTGTAACGTGAATATTTCGAATCTTAGACACATGGCAATTGATGAAAATGAAATTAATTAAAATTAATTTGTTAATTGAATAACAAATGCGGTGCAAAGACGTTCGTGTTATTCTCGTGAAAGTACGGTGGCTCGAAATGAAGCAGGTAATTACAACCGAAATTAGGTGGTTCAATGAAAGATGAGATATAGTTTGTTATGTAAAAACTTCAAGTAATACCACAATCGATCAACCTCAAGTTGTAGAAACGATGGATCATTCGACTAGTAGCTAATACATAACCTTTTATACCGAGGATTATAAACTTTCTGCGAGAATGGGAAGTGCATCTAATGGAAAAATGTTATTTAAGAAAATGTGCGCGACGTGTCATACTGTTAATAAAGATGGCCCACACAAAATGGGTCCAAATCTGTATGGAATTGTAGGAAGAACCTGCGGCTGTACGTACATATTTTTTTCAGACGCAAATTTTCAGTTATTCGTCTTGAAAATGAAGCGATTATTTTTGCAAAATATGTGTAAACAGTTGAAATTTCTTTTTATTCGTTTCAAGTGAATTTTTATCCACTTCATCCATTGTACTTTTGATTTACTCGTATTAATATGAATTTAGCTGCTTCTGGATTCATGTACACTGAATCGATGAAGACGAAAGGTGTGAAATGGGACGAGAATACCCTAAGCGAGTATTTGGAATTTCCCAGACAGTTCATTCCTGGGACAAGAATGGTGTTTACCGGTATCAAAAAGGAGCAAGATCGTAAAGACATAATTGCTTATTTAGTGACGTTGAAATGAAAATTCGGAGTATATTATATTCGTTCTGTGAGATATGTTTTATACGGTGTCCGGAATAAGTCGTCCGGAAGATTATTTTAACGAAAATAGGTGAATAAATTTTTTAAATTAACTAACCTGGATATCTTGATAAATTCCGAGCATGCAAAGGGTGAAACTGGAACCCGCGGTGGTCGTATCGTGTCCCTGAAAAGTGTGCTTAAAAATATTTGATTTTTCAACTTTAAGAATATCTTAGAATTATTTTAGAATTTCTCAGCTCAAAATTAATTTAGAATTTTTCTGAATTATTTCAGAATTTCTTAAAATTATTTTGGTACTTCTGGAAATTATTTTTAAAATTTCGTAGAATTATCTTAGAATTTCATAGAACTCTAAGATATAAAATTATCTTGGAATTGACTCGTTTACCTCAAACATTATAGTGTCCACTTCCTCTTTAATTTCCTCCTCGGTCAGTTTCCCGCCATTTTTCACAATCTCCAGCATAAGATCAAGAAAAGCACACCTCTTCTTCTCACCGACGTCGTTCTCGTCGATATCGTCAAGATCAT